CATTTCTTCTTGTCCTACCCTCAGATGCTGTGGAGAATAAATCAATACCCTCTTCCCTTTGGCAGCCCTTCAGACTAAATGAAGAGAATTAAATGATCCCTTCTAAATACACAGTATTTAGGCCCTACTTTGCCAGTTCATACAGTATTTAATATACAGAATGACATTTACCATAAAATTAACAATATTAAGTGGGAAGGCATGAAGTTTCAACTATAAATAAGAAAATAAAGCATATATTCAAAATTCCACATTTTTAATTCCACAGCTATGCCTCCATGCGTCCTATACAATGGGCTTGTAGAATGAAACATGGCATTTTAAATATATCAATCAGCAATGGCGTGTGGCTCACCTTGATGGAGATGCTTTTGAGCAGTTATTATACTGAGCATCTCCTAATCCTCCAAAACACAAATGAAAGGCTTCCGTCATGAAGAGGAGTGGGGGAACCCATCAATGTGAGGTACTTCACCCCAGTGCCAGCAGCCATTTCTAGGAAGAGTGTTGATTCCATAATATCGATAGCTCTCTCCAAACTGAGGAGATAAATGCACTGTTTGGATCATGTTGTGCCATTCAAGATATAAATCTAATCTGAAGATATATGTAAGCACCTAGCAGTTGAAACTGCATGCAAGATTTCCTGTAATTAAATAGTTATTTCCCCTGTTGAAATTCTATTAGGTTGCCATAGAGACACTTCCCCCACATGTGAGGCTCTTGTTAGGTTAGCCTCAACTGTCCCAAAGGTGCTTTTTCAAGAGGCAACTGGACTTTTTGTTTTTCCTTGAAAAACGTTTCGCTTCTCCATTTCTGACTGTCAGAACCAGTCAGAGCTGAAGAAGCTTCTTGGATAAGAAGTGAAACATCTTCAAGGCAAAACAAAGAAAGTTCAGTTGTCCCTTGAAAAAGCATCCTTGGGACAACCATGACCTGGATGACTGAAAATCTCCACAAACAGTTAAACCTCAGCTGTAAGACTTGCCATTCCTCCAATGGTGCTCTGGAGCCATCTCACACTGACTCGCAAGAGCTAACTGTTTAAATTTTCTGGAATTTTGTGAGTTGTTTAGGAGCAGAGGTGACCCTCCGTGCCTAGTGCACCAACCAGGTTTTCATGATTGAGAGTGCTCCAGATGGACAAACTGGTCCATAGCAAGTCCTTGCCTCCCTATGAACTCTAGTGTAATAATTGCATTTGCAACCAGATCAGCTCAATCACTTGAATAAGTGCATTCTTTTAATCCATGCACATCTGGTAAGGATTCTGTAGCTGTTTCTGCTTTAAGTGAAAGCATAACAGCCCAGATCAGAATTAGATCTCCTTTAGCTGCTGAAGATGTTGGTGAGAACCTTATCTGAACCTTCCTGTTGCATGCCCTCTTTTTTCTCCCTCTTCTGAACAAGCATGGTTCTGAGTGACTAATCTTTGGTAACTTGGTGGTGGGTTTTTAAAATTCATCAGCTCTGAACAGTTCTGCCAAGTATTTCATCAGGGCAGAGCTAACATGGCTAAGCATGAACAAACATCAATGAGCCACTAAGCAACTGGGAAAGAGCAAAGACCCCAGAGGGGTAGAACAACCTTTTTCTTTAAGTAACTGGATTCTTTCTGAACAGCCTCTGAGTACTCTCACATGTCAAAGTGCTGGATATTAGCATTTACTGTACATGAATAATTTCCCAGATTTAATGGGGGATTTTTCTTTCCTGGCATCCTGACATATAAGGGCATTCTCTTCAATGGCTCTTTTCCATGGTTGACCAGGACAATGAGTGATTCTTACAAGTTCATACATTCTGATGTTGTGCCAGTCCCCCAAACTAACAAGAGATTAATATAAGATTGCCTGGACTGTGCAATATGCCTGGCTTGCAGCCCATTGCTAGAGCAGAAGTGCCTGGAGGGTCTCCAGACATTCTCAGGGACGTTTCTCTGCTATCATTGGTAGAGCACAAATGCAATCAGGCCAATCTAGTTTTTACTGAACCCATTCATTGCTTTCTGTGGCCCATATCCCATGGAGTTTTACTTAATGTCTATTAATTCACTAAGACCTAGTTTCAAATAAGTGTGTGCAAGACTGTGACTTTTATAACTCTATCCCTTCCTTGATATGCTTAGGGACAACATGCATTCTGATTCAAGTTATTTAGCTCCCCATTTCTAACCTTGGGCTCCCTAGACATGATAGATTAAAATTCCCCAAATTCACACTCATCATAGCCAGGAATTGAAAATTAGAGGCTATAATTATAGAGGATTTATTGTGGATGACTATGTAAGAGATATGCCATCTTCAATTATTCTTAGAATAACAGGCTCTAGAATTCAATATGAGTATTTATGGCTCCTCTGTGAACTATTTGATGAAGACTTGTCTTCTTCACCGGCAAACTAAAGTGCATGAGACTTATGGGGTTTGAGAACAGAAATGCAATGGTATTTGCACTGTTTGAGAATCCCAGTTGATCTAATATCCTGGACATGAATTTGCTTGTGTCCCCTTTGCTCATTGGCCTTAAGCAGTGAATGCTAGCCAGCTAAGCTAATCCATGATGAAATGCAAGCTCTTGGTAACTGGCTTTCCTTTAATATGCCTGCCTACCTTCCCTTTCTCCTCCTGCTGTGGGCCCCTGCGTGGGTACCCATCCAAAGCCGTAAGTCAGATGATTGCAATGCAAGTCATGAAAAATGTGTTAAACTCCCCTCCCCACAACAGACAAAAGTTCTTCATTTGTTTGCTTCCATCCAGTTAATCTTTTTAAAAAAAAGAGTTTCAATGAAAAAGCCTGAATTGTTTAGAATTGTCAGCACCAAATACAACCAGCAGTTGAAAGAAATACTGAAGGCTGGAAAGTGCTTTTGTGAGACTTGCTGTTTCAAACACATCTCACATATACATCTGCATCTGTTTCCTTCATTGCTCCTTGCTGCATATCTGCCACGGGTATATATGCAAGAATGGCCTACATGTTTCTCCTTTTAGACTGGGAAGGCATAAAATCTGATACACATTGATGTAATTGTGCAAATATTTTGTTGATGTACATGTTATAAATATAGACTTCTGCAGCTGTGTATATGATGTTGCTATTTATGATATACAATGCCTCGATGAAGTGTTTGTGGTCCCTCTGTCTCATGATCATAATCTTTGCAGATGCCATATCTGCCTTTGGGCAAAACTCTGACATGAGATGATGTCATCCATTCATTCATGGACATTTTCCAAACATACTGGTAATGGGAAGGGCAGGCTATGGACATTTATTGCCAAGAATGTTTGCTTTTTTTTTTTATGGCTGATACCAAGCAAGTGAAGAGTAATCTGGAAATCGATAGGTTTTGTCTTTTGCATCGTTCTGTAAATTCCTAAACAGCTGCTAATCGGAAGGATACTTAAGAAAGCTAAGTGAAAGCATTCTGAATTTTTATAAATGAGAGAAAATGAGGATGTGTACATTCTCTGGATATCTTCTGCATAGCAAATTGCAATTAACTGCAATCCAGGAAAATTAAGTATTCCTGCTTTGCAATGTATACTCTACATTCTGTATCACTGGGACTAAGTTGTTGATGGGCTTTTGTTTGACGCTTCTAAATATGGAAGAGACCATTGCAGTGACATCCTTGGTATTAGAACGAATGTAATACGTAGATGTCAGGCCAGATGTGAGATACAAATAGTGAGCCGTGGTGGCGCAGTGGTGAGAATGCAGTATTGCAGTCAGGAATTCAATCCCGATGAGGCTCAAAGTTGACTCGGCCTTCCCTCCTTCTGAGGTCAGTGACAATGAGGACCCAAATTGTTGGGAGCAATATGCTGACCTTGTAAACTGCTCAGAGAGTGCTGTTAAGCACTATGAAGCGGTATATAACTCNAATAGTGAGCCGTGGTGGCGCAGTGGTGAGAATGCAGTATTGCAGTCAGGAATTCAATCCCGATGAGGCTCAAAGTTGACTCGGCCTTCCCTCCTTCTGAGGTCAGTGACAATGAGGACCCAAATTGTTGGGAGCAATATGCTGACCTTGTAAACTGCTCAGAGAGTGCTGTTAAGCACTATGAAGCGGTATATAACTCTAAGTGCTGTTGCTATGGAAACATTTTTATAGTATTAAAAAGTGGGGATGCAGATTCCTTTGGATAGGTATAGGTCAGGGGTAGGCAACCTTGGCTCTTTTATGACTCGTGGACTTCAACTCCCAGAATTCCTGAGCCAGCCATGCTGAGGAGAAAGGGAGAGGTTTCCATACTGAGCCATGCTGGCTCAGGAATTCTGGGAGTTGAAGTCCACGAGTCATAAAAGAGCCAAGGTTGCCTACCCTTGGTATAGGTTATGCCCTGCCGAAAATCTTGTCAAACTGGGATTGTATAGAAACTCACAAAAGCAGCTAGTTTTTTTTCCTTTCTTGTCTCTTTTTCTATCAGCCATGATGTTAAAGGCATGGTAATGTATGGCATATATTAGGCAAACAATAGCCTGGGGTGGTATTTGACCAGTTCTGCCAAGAGTAAAAGGCCAGTAGAAGCACAAAATGTCAGGTTGTGTTTTTATCAGAGGAGGAGACATCATTTAAGTACGCCCCTCAGCTGTGCCTGAGAGAGGCTTTTGTCAAAAGCTCATAACCAGTATTGATGAGATTGTGTTATTAGTAAATCTTTACTCCCAATATGCCAAGAACCCTCTTGCTCTTTTGTTATGCTAAATTGCCATCTCGATTGTCTTAAGATTAAGAATATACACTTTTCGCCAAAAGGAAAGTGGTTTCTTAGCCAAAGGCATTTCAGTGATGAGGGCCAGTTCTTTTGTGGCTTCAGAAGGACAACCACATTGAGCAGCAGCCCCTGCATTCTTAAAACCGTGTTTAGATTTTGCTATATCCTGGTAATTAGCAACAAACCAGCGTTTGGATTTATTACCAACTAATCTATTAGTTTTCTGGTTTGTTGATTTTTCCTTTTTTTCTTTCTCTTTCTGTCTATATGAAACAGTGCGCTCTCCACCAGGACTGGCTAAAACTCCACTTTCAGCATTGGGGCTGAAACCTCATAATCCAGCAGAGATTTTGTTGCACCAGACAGGAGGTAAGTGAAAATATCGTTACGATGGAAAAGTTGGCGTAACAGGAATAAGGTACTTGGTTGTTTGCTTGCAGACATTTCATTACCCAACTTGGTAACCTCCATGCAAATGGATGTGGAGTTTGTATCCTGTTTATACATAGTATCTTGCTTTTCAAGTGTTGGTGGGGATGTGGTTTTCTCCTTGGTATTCCTTGATTGGGATATTGTTTTCTGCTTGACTGTTTGGCTGGTGTTCATCCCTGCTTATTTGGATGTTGGCTGCTGAAGAAGACGTGTTCTGATTTTTCTTGTTTCCTTCTTAGCTTTTTTTCACTCTCTTTTTAAATGGTGTATAAATATGCTTTATTTCTATGCGTCTATTGATGGCTGATTGGTCTAAATGCCAAGCTTCCAGGAATTCCCAAGGATTTTTGGATTTAGCTTGGTCTAGGATGCACATAGTTTCCCAGTTGAAACTATGGATGGGGCTATCCATGTGCTGTGAGATTAAGGAGTTTTCATTGTGTCTTCTGACTGCTAGTTGTTATTCATGGACAGGGTCTGCTAATTTTCTGCCTTTCTGCATGCCTAAACTGGATATTCAGATAAATTAGTTTTGTAGCTGACTGCTTAGTCACATATCCAAGGGCAAGGTAAGCCTTTGAAGAAAGTAGCTTATCAGATCCACCGCTAAATGACACAAATCCCCAAAGAAGCCCACAAACTAATTAATATTTTCTGGGTTTTATTTCTTGAGGGGCCTCTTTATGGCACAATTAAAATGCAATTAGCACGATAAAGCAAGGGCACTTATTTACTGGTTTATTTTGTTAATTTATATGCCTTAGTCTCCCAACTAATAATAACCAGAAATGAAAATAATGCACAACAGACAAACAATCATGTCACAATTGAGATCAAAGAAATAGCATAATAATAACAGAAACATTAAATAATATATCAGAGACAATTTAAAAATGGTTAGGATTCTTTGGCATCAACAATTAAAACCTGGAAGCAAAATAAGCATAACTACGATGTGGAGGAATGCTAACAAATGTTAAGAAAAGATTTTAAAACATAAAAAAGGCTGATAAACTGACTCTGAGAGGGAGTTCTGCAGTATTGGACCTGCCACCAAAAAGGCCCTGTAGCCAGTTCATTCCAGACAGTCTGTTTCATCACCTGTACTGATGAAGTCCATATCTGCAGAATGAAACTCTTAGGTAACAATATAAGGAGGAATCTGCTTCTTCAAGTAGAGGGGACCTGAGCTATATAGGAATTTATTAGCCAAAACTAGCAGTTTGAATTTGGCATAGAATGCAAGGGGAAATCAGTGTGACTGACCTAAAAGAGATGTAAATGCTCCCAGTAGGATATCCTAGATGGAGCCCTGTTGCTGTTATTTTGGACTTTGGGCAATTTCCTATCCTTCTTTCAAGAGTGTCCCCATGTAGAACCTGTTGCAACCCAATGGTACATCATCTGCATCTGGTAATAAGCCCTCCTAGCTATAACATTGATCTGAGTATTTGGGGCAGCACAGAGTCTAAGTTCACCTCAAAAGTTGCTCTTTGGGGAAGAACATTTCCTCTCAAGGACAGAAAAGATTCTCTCAAATTGATTTAGGCTTTCCTGACATCAAATCTGTTTGAATCCAATTTCAATTGGAGGAGCGGGGAGTCAATTAGGCAACTTGTAACATCTGGAAACAATATGAAAATGACAATTTGCACTTTGGAAGTTCTTCGTGTCCATACATTACCAATCCTGTAAATCTCTCTGATACAATCTTTAAAAATGTGCATAAAAATGAATGGTATAGGGTTTCCTGCCTGAGCAGGGGGTTGGACTAGATGACCTCCAAGGTCCCTTCCAACTTTATCATTATTATTATTATTATTATTATTATTATTATTATTATTATTATTAATAATGCACAATTCTGGTTGAATATTATTTAAGGTAAAATAAAGACAAATGTTTGTATACCTTATAAATGCAGGTTGCTAGAATGGAATGGATTATATAGCAATCAGAGAAGAGGAAACAGATTTAATACCTCTGCAACTGCCTTTTTAAGATTTGCCTCACCCTAATGTGACAGCTGTCAGTCTCATTCTTGGGTATCAGGTTATTTTTCTCCAATAATAATTTTGCATATTTATGCCTATTAATTTTTGGAGAGACCCAGAGGGCTATTGCTTTTATTTACTAAGTACTGGCTTAAAACATAGACACAGCCTGTTTTAAAAATCAAGTCTCTTCATTATTTTTGTTTTTCTCTTATAACCAGAATTCTAAATCCACGTACTCTGTTTATGAGCTTATTGAAGGATAGGATAGAATTTTCCGAAGAAAAAGGAAACTTTAGCCAGAGTTGAGCCTCATTGATTGTATATTATATATCAGTGGTGGCGAACCTATGGCACACGTGCCAGTGGTGGCATTCAGAGCCCTCTCTGTGGGCACGCGCGCCGCCACTGCCAGCAGCTTGTGCTGCCGCCGCCCGGAACAGCAACCCCACCCAGCACAAAGGAGCGGCCAGCTAGCAAGCTGAAGTAGAGGTGGTAGAGCACGCCCACACCCAGCAAGCCAAAGGCCACCCCAAGCAGGAAAAGCCAGATCCCCATCAGCGCCATGGCCCCCCAGTCCTAGCTAGGATTGTGTGCCTCCCCCCATCTATGGTGGGCCTCCTGCCCATCGCCCCACCCGCCAGAGATCCCCTGGATCTCCCCCAACCCTGCCCGGCCCCCACAGGCAGCCCCCCCATGAGCAACATCGAGGTGGCCATGCCCACCCCAGCCACGCCCACCCAGTCTGCCTTGACAACCGCAGCCACGCCCACCCAGTGAGCCATGCCCCCATGCTCTCCCTGAAGGCATCACAATGCTGATGCGGCCCTGGCACTTTGCAATAAATAAGTGAATTTTGGGTTGTGGTTCGCCATCAATGTTATATATATATTTTTCATAAAGTTATTTTGCAAGCATTCAACACATGCTGTGTAGTGCATATGTGGCTCACCCCCATAATAATAATTTGCAAGACTTCCGCTGTACAATAAAGATGATATTTTCTTCAGGCCCAGGTACGGCGAATACTCTTTCTTAGCAAAAGCTTGCTAATATCGGGTCTCTTTCTTTTCCTTCTTTCCTTTCCCCACAGAAGTAGATGGGGAAGCAGTAGTTGAATATGATCAAGGTAAGGAGGGCATTCTTTTCATTATATCAGCACACTCTGGATGAACTGTGAAAAGGATGGAACAATTTTCAGTTGCCAAGATATCTGGTTAGCTTTCTGTGGGTTATCAAAAAGCTAAATGAAACAAAACGTTCGTCACAGATTCAATAGCATCATAGGGTTGCTGTACGCATGCATTAACCTCAAATAAATGTTGACAGATAAATGGCAGAGAAACTATTATTTATCTAAGAGTAATATTTTCCATCTCCTTGATGTAAGCATAGGCAGACTCTTTTTCCTTCTTCTAGCATATTTCCTAGGTAAATATTCCAGTTCTACTAATGTGAATGTTTAGTAGACACCGTTTTGTAATTACCTATTGCAGAGTTAATACTTCTGGTGAATGAACTTCAATCTTAGTTAATATTTCCCATTTAAGGTTTTCCGGAGAATTTTTTCAGTGTGGTTGACTATAAGGTGAGCACCGGAATTTTCAATTTTCAAGGTAGTCCTCGACTTAGAACAGTTCACTTAGTGACGATTCGAAGTTACAGCAGTACTGGAAAAAAGTGACCTATGACCATTTTTCACACTTATGGCCATTGTAGCATCCTCGTGATCACGTGATTTACACTCGGATGCTTGACAACTGTCTCACATTAATGACGGTTGCAGTGTCCTGGTGTCATGTGATTCCCATTTGCAACCTTCTGACAAGCAAAGTCAGTGGGGAAGCCAGATTCATTTAACAACCGTGTTACTAATTTAACAATTGCAGTGATTCATTTAACAACTGTGGCAAGAAAAGTCGTAAAATGGGACAAAACACAACATATTTCTCACTTAGCACTATAAATTGTGGGCTCAATTGTGGTCGTAAGTTGAAAGAAGTCGCACTTGGAAGAAAACTCCAGTGAGCTTAGTTATTCCCAGCTACCTATGTACATTATCCTAAGCAATGTTAGGCCTGATTCAGACATTAGCTGGGCAATAGTTTGATCTTTCCATGAGCCAGCTGTGGTATTTGTAGATAAGATAGGCAGTCATATCAGTCAAATGAATGATTGAATGCCTTTCCATCCCTGCCCTTATTTACTGATGGTCGTGGTATAGTTGTATAAAATTATTCTTCTGACAATATGTTACCATCTTTGAATGGGACTAACTTGTACAGAAGTAGCAGCTGTACGATGGTGAAAGGTACAGCCTGAAAGAATATTCCTTCCAAAATTATGAGTTACTTTTTACAGCAATCTTTGTAGTTATTGGACAGCAGATGTCTTTTTTGCAAGATGATATTTTGATAACTTTTCCCTAACAGAAAATAATTTGTAGTATGCTTTACATACCTCTCTCTATCTCTATCTCTATCTCTCTTTAACCTTTGTACCTTGCTTTCTTCTAATCTAAGGAATTCTTAAGTGGCCTTCTAGCCTTAAAACAGTCTTTACAAGCTGATGCAAATCATCATAATTTCAAAAGAAACATTCAGNACTTAGCACTTATACATTTAAATGCATTGAGAATTCTGATAAGGATTGTGGGGTATTAACCAGAATAATTCACATATTATCCTATGCAAGTTTACTCAGAGCTAAGCCCTACTGTACAGAGCAGCATTTACTCATCCATTAAATATTGCTGTTATTCCCTTCTTCTTTCCCCAAACAACACCATGCTAGAAAAACAATGGCTACATTTCCTTTTTTTCCATACAAGGTTCCTGTAGCTCCATTTTATAAAAATAAGTCAAAATAGGAAGGGAGTAGGGGTAGGAAACTAAGCCACAGTTCAACTTCAGGTGCAGTTTGCCTTCAGGCATCCAGTATTCTCTTAGCTGAGTTCACATTTAGTCATCACTATATAAGGAACCTGCATTTTTATTAATTATTCTCTTCACCCGCCCCCAAGCAAGGCCATTGCTGGCCTTAAGGAAATCTACATAAACAAAAAGCCAAGGCAAGAATTTACATTTTTAAGAAGTTGTTTAGGACAGAACACAGCTGGGATACAACTTAATCTTTTGGAAAGCAGCTGCATTTTTAGGTATTCCAAATAAACCAAAATAGAATCCTAAATATTTTCTGAACAGGATGTTCGTATCATTATAGACTGAAAATGTTGAGACAAAATTTATGGAAGTTAGTCAATACTGTTGGTTATATATATTCAAAAATCAATTATTATTTTTTTCTTTTTAAGGTGGCACTCTACACTGAGAGACCTAGCATCCTTGGCTTATAACATGATTCCTGATAAGACTTTGTTAGTCTAATAACATAATCTGATATTACACCTTTTTAAAACTTCCATATTGATTTTATTTCAGAACAGATGATAACGATGATGGTTATGATGATTAAAATGGTTATGGGCACTTATTCCATAAGATTTGGAGGGATTAACAATATCTAACTATTCAATTAAAATAATAGCAATGAAGCATAATAATAATAATAATTTAAAAACAACAACAACAGGGGCTCCACAAACACACTAACTCCAGAATTTTTTGCAAGGTATAGCATGCATAGATTTAAGTATGCTTTTCAAATTACAGAAGAATTATTTCACTTTTATTCTACACTGAACAGACTCCATCTCAAATATTATGTCCAGTCCAGAGCACCATACTTTAAGAAAAATCCAGAGAAATTAGAATTAAGTTCAGAAAGGAGTAATAAGGATCATCAAAGGTTTAGAAACTAATGCTTATAGGAAAAAAAGAGTGAAGGAAAGGTTTAGCATTTTGAAGAATAGAATTGGAAAGTTTAACCTTTGGAAGAGAAAGCTATGGAATGATAGTACTTTCCATATACTGAAAAGTATGTCACGGAGAATTATAAGACCTAAAGTGCAGGAGAGGGTAATAGCTTTCTGACTAAATATTAGAGCAAACTTCCTAACAAGAAAAGATCAATAATGGTACATTGGTACCAATTGCCAAAGGATTGATAGATTTCTTTTCATTGGTTGTTCTGAAGCAAAAGTTAAATACTGTAATTATGTTCCTGCACTGAGCAAGGAATTGGACTTGATAGTTCAATACCTTCTTTCAGCCTTTGATTCTATGAATATATAATTTTTCCAAATGGGAAAAATTGGAAATAGGTGGCTCTCCAATGCTGACTGGAGATTTTGTGAACTAAAATTCAACAATATCTGGAGGGTGCGATTTACATCATTAGTATAGTCAAGCCGAAGATTTGCATTTTAGCAAAATTGCCCATATTTGGGATTATATCCTCATAACCACAATCAGTGTGTTGCAGGAAGAAATTACACTTTTACGGTAAACACAAATACTATCACAGAATAAGTTTTCATGGATTACCACCTACCATCCAGTGCAGATGATTAAAAGTATGAAAGTTTATGCTGTAATAATGGATTTGTTAGTTAAGATGGCTGCCAACTGTTGTTATTATTAGATGCACTTTTATGCTTTCTTGTTAATAGGATAAAGGAAAAAATGAGGCAGAATTATAATTTGTGTAGTTAAAATGTTATTAGTTGTCCCTTTAGATCAATGCTTTTCAACCATAGCCAATTTAAGACTGTGGACTTCAAGTCCCATGGCTGACTGGGGAATTCTGGGAGTTGAAGTCCACAGTTTTATAGTGGCAAAGGTTGAGAAACACCGCTTTAGTCTCTTTCCATAGTTCCATGAACTGTTCACTTGCTTAAATTCATCCCAGGGAAGTTGGTTCTTTATACTGTTTGATATGGTGCAGAACTTAGAATTTAATTGAGGAATCTCGGCATGAGTTCTCATTCTCCTGTTTGGCAATGAGTTTCCACTGCCATTTTTTTCTTCTGCTACCTTCCAATAATTTGCAGGCAGCTGAGGTTTGGAGCTTAGTGCTGGTATATGCTTTAGTGCACATTGAACAAGATTTTAGTGTACTTATTAGACCGAAATAAACATTCACAAAGAAAAAATAATACTCTAAACAGTGAGCAAATGACCCCTAACTTTTTATACATGAGAAAGAAACAAATAATGTACTTCAGCTTAGTATCTTTCCTCCTTGTTGGCTTTTTCCCTGCAATCTTTGAACTTACTAGCTTTGGAATAAACAAGAAAGATTTTTGATTTGGTTTGTTTTCCCTTTTTCCATTTCATAGAGGTCTTGGCTCTCCCAGCAGTTTCTCATTAGTTTGCAAGCTAATGCCTAACCATGCTATTTTTAGATAGGGAGGGGAGCGGGAAATGTGTAGCAGTAACAGATGTAATTATTTTAAGTGGCATGCTGGCACATTATACACATTGCAAGCCTTTTGAGGTTGCACTTCAGCCTAGCACCAAAGTCTTCTCAAAAATTTTGGCCTTTCTAAATTTGGCCAAGCTAACTGTCCTGGGCCTTTGCCTCTCAGAATATTCAACCCAGCCTTCTTCATCCTCATTTTCTTCCCTTCCCTTCTTTCCTGCCTCCTTTGCCAGTTGGCAAAAGACATCCTTGGACACACCAGGAGAAGGCTTGGCCACCAGTCTGATCTCGCCTATTCCAAAATCTTGCTTCATTTTCATAAAATTGTGCCTTTATTTAACTGGTTTCCAGCTTAGATGTGTTAAGGATATTCCCAGCTTACTATTTACAGTACTGTCCTATGTAATTTACATTCCTTTTACCTAGCTCGAGATTCAGAGGAAATCACTCAGTAGACTGCCTATACTACCTAGACAAAGTACATCATAAAGCACATGCAGCATGTAGCCAGGTTTGTCTTCAAACAACAGTTAAAACAGCCTTATGTAACAATGGTCCTTGTATTTGTGACTAATTTAAGGGGCCACTATTTTCATACAAATCCATGCAGCTTCATTTTGACGTATGACATTCTGGAAACCACAGTGTCTCTGGAATCGCTAATGATTCCACATTCATTTTGCACATAGAAAAATTTGATCATTTTCAGAAAGAAAAAATTGTGACAGCCTATGCTTCAAATTGATTAATTTGAGGGACCTAAACTGATTTTAGTACTTTGATCTGTCTTGATTATATAGTTGTTATCTTTAAGTCACTTAGAATTTATGTGGCAAAGAAAAATAGAGTAAAAAGGTTTGAAGGGTAAATCAATTATTATTATATACTTACCACATTACATTACATTATATATTATTATATTATATATTACTATATCATTATTATATACAGTACAAAAAATGGGAAATCACAACTGCAGATCCTTTAACTGATGTTGGTCTTCATTTATATGGAGTTCTTCCCAAGAACCTACAATGTTATAATGTATTGGTATAGTATCTATGCACATCCAAGCAGTGAGTCCTTTTGTAATTGACAGATGGACAATGTGCAGTGCTGTCCAAGATTTTTTGGTATGGCGTCTACTGTACTGATAGCCACTGGGGCCACCGTGGCTAATTTTATACCATAATCTTTTCAGTTTAGATTTTTAGATCTTGATACATTGTGAGCTTCTTCAATTCTTTGCCTTCTATTCTAGTATCTCCTGGTATTGCCCCATCAGTATTGCCCCATCAGTTATCCAAACTTTTTCTTTTCAGGCATAATTATGAACCAAGATTATATCTGTTTGTATTCAGAAATACCTGCTTGTTTTCAGAAATACCTGCTCGTTTTCAACTACTTTTTCAACTTTATGTTCTTTACTTTATTTTTCATTACTCGCACATGATAATTTTTACAGATGTTCCAGTGAATCATCTTGGCGACCATATTATGTTATTGTTTACTATCAGTTTGTGTGATCTTGTATGAACTATATGAACTACTGTTTCTTCTGCTTCTTTGCACAACTTACATTTTGAATATTTTGAATAATAATAATAATAATAACAACAATAACAACAATAATAACATTATTATTATTATTATTATTATTATTATTATTATTATTATTATTATTATTATTATTATTATTATTATTATTATTGATCATCGCACAGTCAGCCAGATGTTCAGACTGGATTTGGCATTTTTGTCTACCTATCGAGTCCTTACCAAGGACCTGGGATAGGCAGATGTGGATGTTTGATGGTATTACAGATATTGTCGCAGGATGGAAGCAGTTCCTAGTAAGACCGCCTTTTGCAATTGACTAATGGCGAATTTGTCAATGCCAATAGTGTTCAAGTGGTGCTCCAGTTGTTTTGGGATTGCACCCAAGGCGCCTATTACTATTGGTACTACCCTTGCTTGCTTTTGCCACAGTCTTTCTATTTCTATTTGTAGGTCTTTGTATTTTGTTATCTTCTCCAGTTCTTTCTCGTCTATTCTGCTGTCTATATTATTATTATTATTGTTGTTGTTGTTATTAAAATGTATTAGCTGACCAACTCCAAGGGAATCGTGATTATTAGTGCTTAAAAATGGTTTATGGTTTCAAGCAACTTAGGCATCATTCTTCTGTTTGTTTTGTTTGTTTGTTTTCTCCTCGCATGTAAATTTAGAGCCTCGGAGCTACGTGGAATCTGTGGCTCGTACAGCAGCAGCAGCAGGCAGTAGTGGTGGGAGTGGAAGCAGCCTTGCTAGGAAGCCCCAGCCATCTTTGGTTTCAGAGACCTACAGCACTGAGATACCTGTAAGGAATGAATCCCTCAACAACTCCTTCGCCTTGCCTAGCCCAGCTTCTGCCAGCAGCCCCATACATAGCATGGACGGGTGAGTTGCAGGACAGACATGGCTGCCAGATGCATGGAACTGCCCTCTGTGAGTTAAGATCAGTGGAATGAAGGAGCGGAAGGACAGTTTGTCCTTTGCTTTGATTAGTGTAGCACTGGAATAAGACAAAAGAGAGAGAAAACTTTGCTTTAATGTCAGAGGAAAGAATATGGGAAAGCGATATTTTTTCCCTTTTCTTTGCTTATGTTCCTCACTCATGATCCAAGACGAAGATCAGTATTTGTGCACAATAAAAAATATATATATATATATAAAAGTGAAAGAACTTGTTTTTCCAAAACAGGAAATGTGAGGTTGTTCCTAATTATGATCAGGAGAAATGTTTTATAAGAGTAAGAACCTTGTCAGAGCTTTTTCAATAACTGTATGTTATCTTGCTCCTGAGCTAACATATGCTTAGCTATTAGGACAGTTTGCCCAAATTCAACTAGTTCATTATTATTTTTTTCCATAAAAAAAATATGAAGAATTTTCCTCTCTGGAAAGGATTCCATGTGTCAACAGTATGATTTTACCAAACTGTTTATAAATCTATAAGTATGTTTTGACCGCATGAGGATATCCACTGTTCACATTTGTCCACGTGCAAATGTCATACTCAAAGTGTATTGTGAAATTATTTCCTCTCTAAAATGTTTGCAATAAATTGTATGTGTTCCATAATGACTTATAAACTGGGAAATTACTAGATGAAGTAAAATGACTTTCTCATAGGCAATTGCTCCTTAATTTTATGTAAACATTGTTTCAAAAAGAGGAACACAAATGAAAATATCCTCCCAGAAAACAAATAATTATGGTCACTTATCTGAACGAATATCAAAGATAGAAGTGTGAGTATGATTTTAAATCACTGTGACTTAAACTGGGAATTCCCTCAGGTGAAAACCTTTGGGGACCACATCAGAGCAGATACCAGAATGGAGAAAGAAGTTTTTTTCCCCCTCCATTCCTTTATCTCCCTCTCACTCACCTGCTTTCACCTTTCCCAGAGGGAAATCAAGGAAACAACACAAGTTTCCTATCTGAATTCCAAAGCAGGGCTCTCCAAACTTGGCAGCTTTAAGACTTGTGGACTTCAACTCAGCTGGCTGGCTGAGGAATTCTGGGAGTTGAAGTCCACAAGTCTCAAAGTTGCCTGGTTTGGAGACCCCTATTCTAAATCAACATATGTTAAAGGCTTAGGAAATGTAACTGAGGGCTGCATATATTCCAAGAGCCACAGCATATCAGCCCCTGATTTTGTAGGAATTCATGCTTCAAACCAATTGCAACTTCAAATGCTATTCCAGGCTATGAATGAATCCCTTGATAAAATACTTTAATAAGTTTCTTTGTTTCCTCCAGGATCTCTATTGGTGGTTATCCTTCAGAAAACAGTACCAGCATAGCCATTTCCTCCCAGCCATCTGCCGAGTCCAGCTTCCAATCCACTAATCTTTCTCAGGGTCCTTCAGCACACAGCAGTTACCAAAATACATCTACATCAACTCAGGGCTTGCCAGTCTCTATGAATGCCGACTTCCCTGATGGCCGAATCAGCACTCAACAAGATAGCCATCCAAGGCCTCAAGCCCAGATCATTGCATCTGGGGTCCAAATCATGCCTGGAAGCCCACATGCCCTTCATAGAACAGTAGCTACCAATACTCCCGCTAGCCCAGGATTTGGGCGAAGAACTGTTAGCACAAATATGGTGGCCGTTCCAGGAAGCCCAAGCATGAACAGGCACTTAATGGGTCCCCATAGCACTGTTGTTTCATCACCTGGGAGTCCAAGCCATGCTCGTCACCAGCCCGTAGCAGGGGGTAGCACAGCCATTATTTCCGGGAGTCCCAGTCTGGATCGACACATAATATGTGGGTACTCAACTCCAGAGGAAAAGCAACAAACACTGTCTCGCCAAAGCAGTGCTTCAGGTTATCAAGCTCCCTCTACCCCATCATTTCCTGTCTCCCCAGCATACTATCATGGAATTAGCCCACATTCCTCTTCCCCTGACTCGGCAGTATACAGACAGGGCAGCCCCACCCCACACCAACCATTGCTCCCCGAGAAAAGAAGGATGTCATCAGGGGATCGATCAAACAGCCTGCCAAACTATGCTACAGTGAATGGCAAGACTTCATCACCCATTTCCAGTGGCATGTCCAGTCCCAGCAGTGGGAGCAGTATGGCCTTTCATCATACTCTGCCAGATTTTTCCAAATTTTCAATGCCAGGTAAAACTTTTTACATGTTCTTTCTCAGTTGAGCAGAGGTCCCCAACCTCCAGGCTGTGGCCCACTGCTGGGCTGAAGCTCATTCAGAACTGGGCCGCAGAAGCAGTGGGCATGCAGCTCCACTTGCACAGTGGGCGGGCGAGTGTGCATGCACAGCTCCATTTGTGCAAGCAGAGGGCATGCATGCCCGCCATTTGTGCCAATGGAGCTGCCCGTGTGCTTGTCCGCTGCCTGTGTGGAACCATCCCCTCCCCTCCCGCCGCTCTGCAAAGGCAGAAAGGTTGGAGACCGCTGCATTTGAAGGTTAAGAATACAAGTAGTTCTCGACTTACGACCACAAATTTTTTTTGCTAAGCAATTGTTAACTGTTAATGGTTAACTTAATTGTTAAGTGAGTTTTGCCCCATTTTATGACTTTTCTTGCTACAATTGTTAAGTGAATCACTGCAGTTGTTAAATTAGTAGCACAATTGCTAAGTGAATCTGACTTCCCCATTGACTTTGCTTGTCAAGTCAGAAAAGGTGATCACGTAACCCCGGGACACTGCAACCGTCATAAATATGAACCAGTTGCCAAGCGTCTGAATTTTGTTCACGTGAGCATGGAGATGCCGCAACGGTCATGAATGTGAAAACAATCATAAGACACTTTCTTCAGTGCCATTGTAAATTTGAATGGTCATTAAACGAGGACTAGCTGTAGTGGATGATAAGTCGAGGACTACCTGTAGTGGATAATAGCATAGGTTCGTCCAACTTTGTGGTATCCCGATTTCCTTTAACTTCTGTGATATCAAACTAAACAAGTATGTAAAATTTTATTTATCAGACTGTAAGTACCTGCTTTAGATAAACTGTCAAGCAGAACCCCAAGCAAGTTTACAAAGTATCCCCAGTTTCTGCACAAGCCTTAACAGATTATTTAAATATCTAAGTTCCTCAACACCATCAAGAGCTTCCATACCACAGTTTGAGAAGCCTTGAGTTGTTTTCTTATTTTTCTATTTGCTCTTTCTGTCAGTACTTGAAGAGTGATCACCATTAAGAATTTTCTTAATATAACCATAGTTTCATAAGTGCTTTGCAATGAGAGAGGACTAGTGTTTGCTAAATATCTAGTATCAAGGACATACATTATGGATTTTTTTGTCCACTTAAGACAAATGTTTTTGATCTGCCGCAATGGATTGCTAGCACGAGTTACTTACCAGTATTTCATTAATTTCCTTTCAACAGAAAGGAAATTATTATCATTATTATTCTTTTCCTTAATAAATACAGGAGATGTTATTGACGATCCATCTTTCTAGCAATCATCGTAGCTTCATAAAATCGTTTATCTCAAATTAGTCGACTTGGATTAAAACTGGGGGCGAGTGCATGGCGGCTGAATTCAAAGGACAACTTTTAATGGGTTCAGTTAGAGACCTAGTAGCTCCGTTCATAGAGTATGCAAAACCTGGTTACTTGTAGCGATTTAATTTTTCTGTCATTGTGCAAATTGTGAGGACTCAGTGAGTTTGGTCAATGTACTTTTCAGTATCTTGTGCGAACTCAGAAATGGACTACAGGTCTATTTGAGGTTGAGCGTGTTGTACAAATCCACTCCACAAAATTTCTGTTGCACAAATATGTCAGTTCCGCCTTGTGTCTCTTTTCCTGTTTCTTAGACAGCAGTCCTGAAACAAGAGCAAATGTAAAGTTCGTCCAGGATACCTCGAAATACTGGTACAAGCCAGAGATCTCCAGAGAACAAGGTGAGGTATTTTTTTTATGGCTCACTGAAGCTCCTTAACAGTTAGGACAAGTTCTGGCAAGCATGCGATTTTCTTTTGTTTCCATAGAAACAGATCGACCACAAAACTATGAGGAACACTGAATGTTCTCTTAGAGCACTTTTTTCTCCAGGAACTCCCAACGGTGACAGGATGTATAATAACTCTTTTTTGGATGTCTGTGGATAGCTGTAGTTCTTCTAGTTTTCGCAGCTCATGTGATAACCTGACCTTTACAAGTTGCCAAAATAATGCTAATGATTCAAATTTGGGAGAAATTCCTCTCTCCCTCCCTCGATTATGTGAGCAGACAGAGTAATTACTCCATAACCTTGTGTCACATGCATCGTCTCCTCTTGTCCCACCACAAGTAGAAAATGGGATTTATTTATTTATTCATTTATTCATTCCATCCCCATAAGGTCATTTTGGGTCACTTACAGGTCACAAAACAAATAGAAAAAAATAATTAAAACATATTAAAATATTAAAACTATATGCAGAGTAAAATTTTAAAAACCAAAACTAAAAAGCAGACAGCATGGACGTGAGATCTTCCTACCCTGTCAACCACCTCCAGCGGTGAGTGTCTCCCTCAGTAATGTAGATATTCTGTATATAATTAAGAAGTTAAGAAGATTTCCTAGAACCATTTGTCTCATGGAAATAGAGGCAATCAGCTGCAGGTCTAATAAATGCAAATTTCAGTTCCTTTGACTGACATATAGCCGTGCACATGTAGAGGTCAGAGGCAGTGCCTAGTAAATGGGAGGCACTACTCACTGAGAGAAAAGTAAGTAAACATGGGCGCTGTCTCTCATCGCATTGAAGCTATGGTAAAACCTTGATTGAACAATTTGTTTGTAGAGAGACATATCTGCTAAAGCCAAATCTATATTAAATCCCAAGATATACAATTTGCAATATTTTTTTGTCATTGCATAGAAATCAATTATGTAATGATACGGATGGATGCAGAAGCATAAAAACTTCGGTGATGTAAATGACATCAGTTGACACAAGGGACATAGATTCTGTCCATTTTCTAAACTCTTTCTCTGAAATAAGAGTTGGCAGTCAAAGTCCAAAGTAAAATTTTGTTCATTGCCTCCACAGTCTGTCAAAGGGAGATCTGCAAAATCGAGTGTTTAATTTTATGTTCTTCTTCCAGTCAAAAAAAAAATTCACTTCCACATTTGAATTGGTTATGCAAAGGTTGAGTATGCAAGGGTTGAGTATGCAAGGGTATCTCTCCAAATTCAGGGTGGCATGGTCTAAAGGTGTGCAAAACAGATTGGCCCCCATTTCAGCTTTCAGGATGGCAACCTTCTCTCGCCATCTCATGCTGATAAGCTGCCTGTCCTATAATTGGGAGTGAGCCCTTTCAAAGAGTTGAGTTCATGTATCTGTCAACAGCCCTTCTTTTCATCCATTCAACAGCTGAAGCACTTGGCACTTCCCTCGTTTCCTTCACATCTCCCCTTTCAAGGGTAGAATGACTGTTACTGAATGAACATTGGCGCTGCTTCAGATCAGATTCTCAGGAACAGGGTCATTCCTGCCTCTGCTGTAATTCAGGCTTCCCAGAATCAAATCACAAAAGAGCTTTCACATTTAAATCTTGCAAGTCGATGAGAAAATCCCCCTTAAAGGAGGGGGGTGGAATGCCCTCATGCCAGGGCCATGCTTGCTCCTTATTCATGACATTGCTATGGATATGCATTTTCCACTCTCCACTGAATGCTGCTGGGTTTTTTTGTCCCCTCCCCAAATTATACAACTGACAATATTATTCATAACCACCTTAATCTCCGGATGTTACGTGGGAGACTTATAAAGGTGAATTCATCTCATCTTTCCAAAAGAAAACTGAGCTGTAAGTCAGAGAAGAAACAGAGAAATAGCTGGTGTCCCAACCAAATGGCTGTGGTCAGGGCAATACCATCTAATATTTTGGAGAGCTAAAGCTTCTGAGCTTCCAAATGATCTAAAACTATGTCAACACACACCAAACAGGGTAGAAGAGAGAAACTTGTTATTTGTTTTCCAGACTTGATGCTTTTCCTATGGGGAAAAGGACTCGTTATGCCAACTTGGGGCATTTATACATTTCTCCCTCTGTTGGGAGTATGTCTGGTGCTCTAATGGGGTTGGGTCTTAATGAAAATAATTCTTCCTCATCATTCCTTGATAATGCCCATGGGTTTCTGTCTCTGTTTGACATCACAGAGGCATGAGATGAATTTTTTTCTATAAGGGGTGGGAAGAAGATTCCAAGGTTGCATCTCTTCTTCCAAAATCAGAGCTCTCTCTCTCTCTCTCTCTCTCTCTCTCTCTCTCTCTCTCTCTCTCTCTCTGCTGTCATAAAAATATGAAAGTTTTGTAGTTTCTGACATATTTTATATCTTTTACTTCACAATAAACATGGAATGTGATACTCATTAGATATCCTAGTACAGGTAGTCCTCAACGACCACATTGCTAAGTTGTTAAGTGAGTTTTGCCCCATTTTACGACCTTTCCCATCACAGTTGTTAAGTGAATCACTGCAGTTGTCAAGTTAGCAACACAATTGTTAAGTGAATCTGGCTTCCCCATTGATTTTGCTTGTCAGAAGGTCACAAAAGGTGATCATGTGACCCTGGGACTCTGCAACCGTCATAAATACATACCAGTTGCCAAGCGTCTGAATTTGGATCACATGACTATGGGGATGCTGTAACGGTTGCAAGTGTGTAAAAATGCTCATTAAGCCACTGTTTTCAGTGCTGTTGTAACTTCAAACGATCACTAAACAAAAGGTTGCAAGTCGTGGACTACCTCTGGTGCCGTTAGAACTTAAAATCCTTCTTCATACTGAGAATCCTACTATTCGTTTCTTTATAGGCTTATTAAAGGTTTAGATCCGTTTATATTCATGTAGTATGCTCTACTTCTTTCCCAGCCATTGCGTTGCTAAAAGACAAGGAACCGGGTGCCTTCATCATTCGAGACAGCCACTCTTTCCGGGGAGCCTACGGACTGGCCATGAAAGTAGCTTCACCACCTCCGGGTGTTATACAACAGAGCAAGAAAGGTAGAGCCTTCATACAACTTCCCACTACCTCCTTTCCCTCTTGGAACATGTGCACAGCAGGCTGTGTTCAGATCAGCCAACAGTTTCAGTCCACATGGACTGAGAGGTTTGAATTAGGACCAACACAGGTAGTTTTGGGTGATAGAAAAACCCAGGTTTTAATCCCATGAAAATATATTCTGTAGTTGTAACTCAGAGATTAAACTGTTCGTAAAGCTGCATCGTGAGAAATCAGGGGTTGTGATTTATAAGATTGGTTGGAGGTCTTCTGGTCTAGGGGTGCCCAACCTGTGGGCCGCATCCCACCAGAGGGCCATGAGGGGATTGCAACTGGGCCGCAGAAACGGCCGGTGAGCATGTGCATCCTCACTTGCGCGAGCAGCGGGCGAGCGTGTGCACATTGCTTGCACAAATGGAGCTACGTGCATGCTTGCTGGCCGCTCACGCGGAGCCCCCCCTCCCCCCGTTGGTCTGCAAAGCCGGAAACGTTGGGGAACTCTGTTCTAGTCTAAATGAGCTTCATTCACTGTAAAAGCCTTTCCTCAGTCTGAACCATTAACAGCTATGCCATCCTATGCACTGACACAAGGAACATATTGTTGGGGTCAAACTCATTGTTTTCTTTAGCTAGAAATATCTGGTCATTAGTTTAGACCAGGGGTAGTCAACCTTGGCTACCCCTGGTTTAGATTATTTGGCAATTTGTATGACAAGCTTAATTAAAGCCATCTATAGTGAAATTCTGATTGATCCCTTTAGGAGACATCACTAATGAGCTGGTAAGACATTTCCTGATAGAAACCAGCCCTAAAGGTGTGAAACTAAAAGGATGTCCCAATGAACCCAATTTTGGTGAGTGTTTACAATTGTTATCTTCACGACTTCTGTCTCATCCTGCCCTCTTGTGGAATCTGTAGCAATGACGTGTACTTTTTAGGCTTTCAAAGTAAGGAAGGAGGTTATTAATATTTAACTGACATGAATCTACTGAAGCCTCTTGGTTAAATTGTCTAAACTTCTAAAGTCTCAGAAATTCAATCAGGGTTGTTTGTAAAAAAAAAGAAAGCATTATTGTACAATATGCATTTTTTAAAGCATAAATGAACATGATACAGTTGCAGTGATATTGTTTAGTATTGCATATATTGTATTGAGGTCATTTAATTTCGTCTTCTTGCCAGAGTAGGTATTGTTTCCAATTCTCTGCAAATATTCCCAGCCCTTTCATTCTTCTAAATTAATGTTATGAATTATTCTTTGTCACGAATGAAAGCAAATATTCTATTCTTTGCCAGTCTCAAGCAGCATGAATTGTGCTGTGTGATACCAGGATTGCTTGCTTGCTTATTTATTTATTTATTTATTTTAAAAAACTTTATTTAAAAATTCCCATTTCTTTCGCAGAGAGACGCTAGGCAGTGTACAAATAAAATAAATAAGTTTATAAAATTTATTTAATTCATTCATTAAGTTTATAGGCTGCCCATTTCACTATCCAAAGCTTAGTTCATAAATTAACTTCATATGCAGATATTTCCTGATTCTGTTTCAAACAGCGGATTGCCACAGAATTTTATGGGCTTAATGCAACTAAGATGAAATGTAAGCAACAAGTTTTAAAATGAGCCTCTGAGCATTTAAGCTTAGTTTAGTGAACATCTCATTTATTTGCATTGTGTGAGCATCAGCGAGGAATTAACGACATCATGATAGAATATAGTTGGAGAAATGGGCTTTGTAAATATGTAGCTATTATTTTTAGAGTGGGCAGCCCTGATAAATTTAAATAAATAAATAGTTTATATGGTTATCTGTCTTAGTGTTGTGACCCTGGGCCGTGAATACATCCCAAATAAAAACATAAACTGCAACCAGGTTAAAAAAAAAGTTTGATACATCAGTGGAACCATCCCCAAACTCTGTTATAACCAGGTCTTCAAAGCCATACAAAAGGCAGTCAGAGTTGGGATTAATTTAATCTCTGGGTGGATGATGTTCCAAAAACAGGTGCCATGATAGGATAACATTCTCAGTTGCCTTTACGTTTGTCCAGATCTCTCTCTCTTTTTTTCCCCCCTTTCTAGGTTGCCTCTCTGCTCTGGTGTATCAGCACTCAATCATGCCTCTGGCATTGCCTTGTAAGCTGGTCATTCCTGACAGAGGTAAAGTTCTCCGCATTATTACATGGGCATAATGCCATTTTATAGAGTATTTCATCCTGGCAAATACTGGGACAACCGAGAAAGTTTGAAGTCAGCTTTAATTTCAGAAAAATAGAATAGAATATTCTGCAAATGGAGGAAGACAGAGATTAGGTAAAGCGTATCAATTTATAAGTCAGGTTTTAGGGATTCAGGTACAGAAAGTTTTTTTATTCCAGAGTTAGCAACCATGCCGCACATATAGAGGAGGACAACTAATGTCAAATACTGTTTCAGCACTAGTCCACTGCTATAATCTGCTGATTATATATAGCAGTGGTGGCGAACCTATGGCACGGGTGCCAGAGGCGGCACTCAGAGCCCTCTCTGTGGGCATGCGCGCTGTTGCCCCAGTCCTAGGTTTTATAAAACCTTTTCGCTTTAGGCCTCTGCCGCCATGTGCAAAAAAAAAAAAAGGTTCAATCAGTCAATTTCAACTTGCAGGGAAAAAAAAGGTCTTGCAAAGTTGGAACTGATTTGTCTGCCGTTACCACCGCAGCCATGCCCACCCAATGGGCCATGCCCACCCAATGGGCCACACCCACCCAATGGGCCGTACCCACCCGGCACTTGACGATGCATAAGTGGGTTTTGGGTTGCAGTTTGGCCACTCGGTCTCTAAAAGTTCACCATCACTGATACTGTATATAGGAAGGCATCTGCAAAAATGATAGGGGAAGGGTAGGCTGGAGAGAGGATAATATAATGTGTTATGTTATCACTGCAAAATCCATAATTCATTACTTCTCTCCTTGCACCATCATTTCTTTGTCATTATGGGTACTTACGATAATTTGTGTCTCACCCAACCAGCCCAATTCTAAATCTTCTAAAACTAACTCAGAAAAAAAGAACTGCTCAGAAGTTGTACCTTACTCTTTAATAGATTACTCATGCACATTGAGAATTTTCCATGCATGGAACTATTTCCATATCAGCTAAATTGAACAACTGGATGTTCAGTCATGAGGCTCCTAAGACTACACATTCTCTAAGGAGGATTCCCGGGGGTGGCTTATAGTAACACAGTTTGGAGAGATCTCATGAGGACTTACTAGATATTGCAATGAAATTGAAATATTGGTAAATGTGCATATAGACACAGGTATTATTTATTTTATTTATGTAAAATATTTTATATCCATTGTTATTAAAACATCACAATAGTATACAGTAAACCATAATAAAAACAATAGAATATTTTAGGGGGGAAAATGGAAACAGCAAAAATACACCCTGGGGCAGCTGATCATATTGAGGGAAAGCTGGGACAAATAACTTAATTCAATTTCTAGTGAAAATATTTGGCATCTCTCTTGAGAGTTTGTTTCACAGAGCATGTGTCAGTGTAGTAGAGAATGCTCACCTCTGCACTACAGCTCAAGTAGATAGTCCGTCTGTGGTAAAGGCAGGGAGATCTCTTCTTTAGATATTATTACAGTGACAGAAAATCTTCTCCTTTGAAATTCCTACTTTGGTCAAGATGACCCAGTTAGAAATCCCAAAATCCCTTTTCTTCAAACAGATATGAGCCTTTAATCAGATAATTAAGGGAGTACACAAGTGTTCCATATGTTAGTCTTCTCCCAGGTTCAGGCATTCCCAGCAAGAACAACATTGGGGATTGCTGACTTATAATGAAGGAACAGAAGATAAGAATCTCTCCATGCTTATTAAAGTATCAGCAATTGTCATATCTTTCATAAACAGATTCTACTGGCATATCATAAACAGATTCTACTGGCATATCATTAATTGAAAGCCAGATATATTTTTAGTCCATAACAGTTGAATGGCATTTTTGTGACATTCATATACACTTTTTCCTATAGGGCTTAAGAGCCATTAAAATATTATCTTTTGGAACTTCCAGTGGAGGTCAGAGATCAGGAGAATTAAGAAGAATTAAGAAAAGCAGAGCTGATAACCACAATAAAAACTAAGGAACTGTCCCAAAAGTGCTTTGTTTTTCCCTCCAAAAAACAGCTGGACTTTGTGTTTTTTCCTTGAAGACATTTTGCTTCTCATCCAAGAAGCTTCTTCAGCTCTGACCAAATGGTGGAGGATAGAAGATTTATATTCCTTGCAGTCATCTACTCATTAGTATTCCTTCTGAGTATTCCTTCTGAGAGTTGTTGAGGCTGCTTGAAGATTTATCTGTGCCCTCAGGGTCACCTGAATAATGCAAATGGATGTGGACTCTTCTTGGAACTGCTGAAAGGATTGTATTGTAAACAGGACATAGGTGGTGTGTATCCCTCCCCCCCTCTATTGAGAGAGGGCTGTCCAGTCTTAACGTAGAAGGTCTCTTTAACCCCTCTTTCAAACCAGCAGACAGACAGACAGACAGATGATAAGTGATGATTTTAGAAATTGAACACTAGAGGGGGCTAAAGATTTTAACTGCAAAAGCAGAAAAAAATGCAAGCTTCTTCTTGAGGTCATTAATACTGGGACTTAAAAAAATGGAAATATAAAATGTTATATTTATAACATCAGATATATTAAAAGGAGAACTTTAAAGAATGAAAGCCAAAAATTATTACTACAATATCAACACTGTCAGTAGTGATGTCTGCTTCTCTGTATAGATTATGTTTAAAATGTCAAGCTCCCAAACCAAGAAAGACTTGCTCAGGTTCTTCTGAACAGTTTCTTTTATTGATACCCACCTATAGGCAGAAATCTTGCCAAACTAAAGCAAACTGCTTGCATTATTAAAGTTATACTCTGAGAACTCCTAGGTGGGGTAGGAGCTGCCTTAACTCTTTCCCTCCCAACAAAACTATCTAAATTTCACCGTTTGCTCCTCTGGAATGCAGCTCCTTCTTCCTGGGAATCCGTATTACATTCCACTACAAAAAGTTGTCGATGAAGGAATGTGAAACAAATCTTAACTGAAAAGACAGAAAAAGTATAGAATGTGGGACTACAAATGACAGGCCAAGAGAATAATTTGGAAAAGGATGCTTTTGTGTACAAAAGAAACTGGCTGAACTTTTAAAAATTAAAAGGGGAATATAAATGATAAATTAAAAAAGTGACCTGGAAAATGTGTTCTTATTCCACCTACATTCCATCTACAAAACAGCCTGAAGAAATCTGTGTAATGGGATAAAGAATTGAAGAGAAATCAAATTCTACAACAATATTTGATGGAATTAAAATTTAAGACTGTTAAAAGTAAAAGGAGGAGCATAAAGTTGGCTTTAAAAGCTCAAAGCAAGACATATTTTTGCAATACTCTAGCATAGACATGTCAAACACAAGGCCCGGGGGCCAGATGCGGCCCGCGAAGTGGTTTCATGTGGCCCGCGAAGCCATCCTGGAAACAGGGAATGGCCCCCTCTGCCTTGGCCCTGGCCTAGGCCGGCCGGGAGCCAATGTACAATTTTGTGGTGGCCATCTATGCTGAAACACATTCAGTCTTAGCTCCACAAGGCTGTCTGGAAACAGCAAGGAACCAGGAGAACCTTGAGCAGCAGCCTTGAGGAAGTGGGGCTGGGCTTGGTGCTGCGGGTGCTTGAGGGCCAGGCTGGGCATTTGACCTCTGCTGCCCAGGGCTCCGGGCAGCCCGCACCACCATCTCCCCCCCCTGCATGGCCTGAGAGGAACAGTGAGGCTCCTCCAGTGGACCATGCCTTGGCACTTGCCCTGGTCCCACCCCCTTCTGCCAGAGACCCTCAGATCTGTCCCACTTCTGCCCAGGCCCCCACAGGCACCATTGATGCGAACAATGTAGAGCTGCCCACGCCCACCCAGTAGGCCACACCCACTCCATCCACGCCCACCCAGTAGGCCACACCCACCCTGGCCACACCCACCCAGCCCCCTGAGGGCAACCGCAATGCTGATGCGGCCCTCAGTGAAATTGAGTTTGACACCCCTGCTCTAGCAACTGTTTATGAACTTTCTGTTGACACCAGAACTGAAAAAAATGATGATTTATTGATTTGTTTATAGATAAGGAATTTGATATGGGATAAAGAGCTATTGTTTAATTTGATAGGGAGCAAAGGATTATTAAATTTGTTTCTACTTGCGAGGAAAGTTGGAAGTTATTTCTTTATATATTTCTTTCTTTTTATTATATTCTTTTTCTTCTTTCTTTTTCTTTTTTCCTGTGCTTTTTCTTCTTTCTTTGCATTATTTTCTCTTTCTCTAAGTTTAGTTTGTATTAATTCTTACTATTGTAAATAAAATTATTAATAAAAATAGAAAAATTAATAACATTTTTTTAAAAATACTGTTTTTGGATCCCTGCATTGTAAATCAAGACAGTCCCTTTTAAATTTAATTTAGTTTTCACCCTTTTATTCAGTTCCAGAAATCTGAAATAAAAATGAATGTTCTCCATAAATATGGATTGTTAGATATAATCCAGAAAAATAACATAGATGTGTATTTATAGACAATAACCTCCTCTGTGTTTTCATTTGAAGATCCTATGGACGAAACAAAAGAAACAACATCATCCAGCAGCTCAGCAACTGATTTGCTCAAACAGGGAGCAGGTGAGCGATTTAAGATTACCCATTTTGAATGAACTGAAATGAAAATCTAAAATGATTAGGATGTTAGATTATTGCCAAGAATTTGCAGGTTCAAACTCATATAAAGCAAAATAAGCTCACTGAATCAATAAGCCAACCACTTAATCTGAGCCCAGTTACCTCATGGAGCTGGGTTTGAGGGTAGAATTGAAGGAAGTTGCTGAAGGAACAGTTAGTAAGAATCCAATCAATGAATGAAAGAATTTCTGATTCAGATTTTACTCTGACTAGTGGGACTCTTGTGTGGAATTTAATCATCACAAACTGACACTGAAAAAACTGAAATAATGTGAAATGCAGTCAGATACTAAGCTTTTTAATATTGTTTCCTGTGAAAGAAAAAACCATGAAATATATATACACCACTCTTCCCTTGCTTACATATATGTCATCAGTATTCGTTGTAGAATTTTTGGTTAGCATAACCAAAGGGGAATGTTGATACATGTTACTTTCCTTGTAGTGCAATCTGTATGCTTCATTGTTTGTTCATTCTACTACCCAAAAATGTTGGCCTCAATTTCCCTCTTTTCTCCCACAGCTTGCAACGTGCTGTTTGTAAACTCAGTAGAGATGGAATCATTAACCGGTCCTCAGGCCATCGCCAAAGCTATCACTGAGACACTGGCTGCTGACATCTCTCCCTCTGCTACTATTGTCCACTTCAAAGTCTCCACACAAGGCATCACCTTGACAGACAATCAGAGGAAGTAAGGGAACATTATGGGAGTCAGGGTTTGGAGATGCCTGGGTGCAACCAATACTAGTATCTTATTGGTGACAAGTTCTTCAAGTTCTTCATTTCACTACAATATTTCTTAGCATCATATTGCAGAGTTCTCTGGGCCACATTGAGTGAAATAATATGTGCAAGGTATCTAAGAAAGGTCCAGGTATTTTGAACAAAATAAATCTCTACCGAGAAGTGTTTCATCAGCTCTGAATATTAAAAATATAGAGCAGTGTTTCTCAACCTTGGCAATTTTAAGAGGCATGGACTTCAACTCCCAGAATCTCCTAGTCACCCATGCTGGCTGGGGAATTCTGGGAGTTGAAGTCCCTGCATCTTAAAGTTGCCAAGGTTGAGAAACACTGATATAGAGCCTATCCAGGCCATATAGTACTGTCACCACCTGCCATCTTATCAGAAATTTCCTTCTTGCTCATCTAGATGAGCTGCCTTGGGGTGGTTTAGTTATTTGTGTGCATGGATTCACCTTCCTTCACGTTCAAATGCCTATAGAATTAATGCTTACCCCCCATTTCCATTTCAGACTGTTCTTCAGACGACATTACCCTATCGTTACTGTCACCTTCTGTGATGTGGACCCACAGGACAGAAAGTAAGTGGAGCTGTTTGTTAAATTCTTCCATAAACTCAAGCAATAAAACTCCTGGAAGCAATATGTATGTAGATGTGGGCATGGTTCTCGTATTTTTATTCTCTATGTCTTATATATCTTTAAAGAGTTTTCATTAGAATTTAGAAGTTGAAACATCAACACTGAAAGAGGAAACAAAATGCATTGTGAATTAAAAACATGGTGTTTTGGCATTTAAAAGCTGTTGGAGATGGAACCAATTAAAATCTCTTAAGGATATTTCTGGGATATTTCCATCTCTACAAAGATTTTGCCACTTCTGGATCTGGAAAGAATGCTTCTGATCCATTGAACAAACAACTTCATTCAAGGGATTAACATATGGGGTCCTTGGTGCTCTCTGAGCTTGCTTGTTTTCTTGCAGACGTTTCATTACCCAACATCAGTAGCGATGTTACCTTGTTTGGGTAATGAAACATCTGCAAGCAAGAAAGCAAGAAAGTTCAGAGAGACCAAGGACCCCTCATTTCAACCCTGAGCTACAAATATTTTCATTTATTGGGTTAATATGTATTTAAAATTATCTAATTTATACTAATTTCAGACCTTCTGTAAATATCAACAGAGTCCTCACTATAAGCTACGGTTTCTACCTGAACACATAGAGAGATGGAAACAACAAGATATGTTTCTGTATCAGAATGAATAAAAACCATTGGCTGGAATGGGAAAATAGGAACATATAATGATGAAAAATGGGAAATTGCCTAGGACAGGATTCTTGGAATCCTATTTTCATTTGTGCTCTTGAAAGGAACTAATCATTCATGCAGATTCTTTGTTTCTGTGTTTGAACAGAAATCTCTGTAATTAGACATCTGTTCCCCTATGTTGCTACTGCCAGATCTCTTTGATTTCCAAGAAATGAGATTGTTCCATGTTGAAACAAATAAGCAGGAAATTATCAACAGCAGTGGAGATTTACAGATATTCCCACAACTTGTTTCAGCTCTGAAGAGAACTAAATTGCCAATGAAGAACAGAGAATTGTTCATCCGTTTCTTTGCAAAAGAATGATGACTCAGTTTGAGGTCAAATGCACCTAAAATGCTGATATTTACTCATTGTAGGTCAATGAAGTTGCAGGCTTATGATAGGCGAGGACTTAGAAAAATACACCATTCTTCATTTATTTTTTAATAGTCATTAAGCACTGTGGTGGAGTTTCAGAGTTGAAACTCTTTCAATATTTCTAAAATTCAGATCATAATACTTTTTAAGCAACAGATAATCTATCAGAAGAGTTAAGGGACAATTAAAGATTTTCAAACAGTAGGGAATTATAAAATAATTTCAACCCCTTTCTTAGTTGTAGTCATTTATTTACAGAAGAAAAGATCTATTGTCAATGAATCAGTGGAATTCCATTCAGAGCTTCCCACTTTCTTACATACACCTTGTATCTAGCTCACCATTTTAAAAAAGTGTCAAATTTTCCTCTGTATAAAAGCGAAATAGAGTTTTTTGTTTGTTTCTCCTCAGGTGGACTAAATCAGAATCTGGTGGTGCTGCCAAGTAAGTTGTTACTTCGATCAATGTCAAAATTAGGAGATATTTTTACACACACACTCACACGACATAGGACAGGGGATCATTCTCATAGTCCTTAAATCTACCAAAACTTTCAAAGATACTTTCAAAGACATCAATCTAAGAAAAAAGGAAAAGCTAAATTAAGTAATTTTGGTCTTAATTATTATTTTTACAATCCAAATATGCCCTCCTAACTCTGGCCTCTCATAAGCCTGTGGTCATGAAAAATCAAACTGTTTAGTTTTTAAGTTTCATTTGATTTATTTTCCAGTTGGACCTAAGGATCATAATACAAAGTTGGTGAAGTCTGGTGATCTCTAGTTGTTGATTTGCTCACAAATTCTTGACTAAATGCAGGGCTCTTTTGTAGCAAAATTGCTTACACAGTTATGACTTTCTTCTGTGGCTCATAATCTATCCTGTTACGTCATCTCCAATTGTTCCTGATAAATATTCATATATAAGCACAGAATGAAGTCAGCTACTTAATTACAATGTGAAGGAAATTTATAGCTTCAGGTAAATAGCTTAGAGATATTTAATTCTGTATGAATATTCTAAGGAAAATCCTTCTGGTTGAATTTTCTGTTTTCTGTGAATTCTGAGGATTGCTTGGATTTTATTTATTGCTCACTTAAGAAAAATATATAATACGCATAATATGTCACTTCATTTACTGTGGGAAATTTTTATTAGAAGAATAGCAATATAAAGCACATATTAATTAACGGTGATTTTCTCTTGAGTCCCCGTACATTTCAAATGGCAGGGTAGAAGGAATGTCAAAGAGTTTTACCTGATACAAGCATAAAGTATGATACGGTAGTGATCCCAAGTGGCGGTGGGCAATTCCTGTCTTCTCTCAAACTGGCATGATTTTATCGCTCCTTAATTTCTTTGTCATCCTGCAGACTCTTTGGCTTCGTGGCTAGGAAGCAAGGCAGTACGACGGACAACGTTTGCCACCTCTTTGCTGAGCTGGATCCAGATCAGCCAGCGGCCGCCATTGTCAATTTTGTTTCCAGAGTTATGCTTGGCTCTTCTCACAAGAGATGAACTGTGGCTTCCCCCTTGCAGGGGGCTTCTTGCCCTTGAATTTTGTCGAAGGACTTGGAGTCGTTCCGAGAAGTTGTAAGAGGAAGTGCATCGTGAAGGAGTGATGTGAACTGATGGGGGGAAGGGGGAGGTTTATTAAAAAAAAAAAGTGATCTGAATTGTTGGAAGGCTGAAACCAACCAAACACATGTATGTAGCAGAAACCAAGGAACTGACACCATTGTCTTTCCCTGCCAAGATCAAGCGATGGAAACAATTTTGGCTTTTGGATCAGCACAAAATCAGAGAATTCAGCCCCACAGGCCAAAGTATGAATCTTAGTAATCTTTGTGGGATAGGTCTATCTAGTAGTTGCTTGTTTAGAAAATAAGGCAAAAACGAAATCAACTCAAAATACCCATGACTATATGAGCTTCAGGAAATAATATCCAGAGAGATGCTAAAAAAAAGCAATCATTTTTTTTTAAAAAGCAAATGCTCCCGGTTCAACTACTGCTGAAAGTATGAAGTATGTCTGTATGAGTGTGTGTGTGCACATGCATGTGGTCTGTCTGTGATATGCACATATTTCAGTATTTAACGTGAGGCTTTACTGTGAGGCTTCTTGCCTCTGATGGCTATTCAGAATATGTATCTCATTCTCCTGAGGTCACAGGTCTCCGTAACCTGAAAGAAAATTTATGAACAACTGTTAGCAGTATGAGAGTTACAGTGCAAGTGGAAAGTATTTATTTTAATCAGTAGTCACACTCATTCCCCACATGCATGTGCACCTAACAATTTATACAAAAGAGTTTCAGAGCTCAGAATCTCTTTTTCGGTAATAATTTGTGGAGCATGCTAGTCAAAGAAAATATAGTAGTATCTGTTAAGAGTCTAGGAATGGGATCCAGACTAAATTGTCCTAAGACTCTCTTTCCTGGAAATGTTAAAACACCAGGAGTTGGGGAATGCATTTCCTTTTGAGTTTAGGATAAAAACAGCCCTGCCCAAGCTTATCCTTTGGGAAAGATACACATTGTTTTGGAAGTTGCATGGAAATAGAGCAAAGGCAAGATGAATAATCCAATAATTGGGAGGGGGAATTCTGCTTTGAAGTCATTAAGAATAACCATTATAAAAACTTAACTTGTTGATTTAAGCATGGCCCTAGCTATTTCAAAAAGGTAGCGGCCGTATGGAGGTTCAAGTATGTAGCTAAATTAGTTCATTATTTTTTGCATTATTAAGCTTTATTTTTGCTTTTGGAGGCATCAGACAATAGATTTTTGCACTGACCTGCTAATAATGTTATGCTAGATTGGCATTTAGTATAAAAAGGGAGACCTTTATGTTGCATATCATGTCATGCAAAGCAGCTTCATATCCTTTCCAGAGTAAATGAGAAAGTGTAGCAGTTGCAGAAAAAAATGTTATATATATATATATCTTCTTATATTTAACATCACGGTTGAATCCTTGTACTAGAATGATTTTTGGCATTTCTAATGGAGGCCATATATATATATATATATACATACTATCTCTGTAAACTGTTCATGCTTGGTATCTATCAAGGAGAGTGTGAATAATATGGATTGAGCTATCAGATAGAATTTCTGTAGTGTAATGAGAATTTCTCACTATCTTCCCAAACTTCTACCATTGGCAAATTTTAGGCTTAAAGATGTGCTGAATGGATAAAAAAGATTTTTTTTTCTATCACCCATTCTGCCTATGGGTTTATTGTCAATGTTTCATTAGGGTAGATTCAAGAAATCCACTGTTGTTTTGCTATATATATCAACTGATCCAGTACAAACTGGTACAAAAAGTCACTGAAGAGCCCATCATGCATGGAAATAATATAAAAAAAACTCTACCCCATGCCTTGTTAATAAAACCCAACCCTATAAATTTCGTTCACTGCTACTGAAATGGCAGATGCGATTCAACAAGATCTGATTAAAATCATTGGAGAGTCATTGTTGCCCCATAGACTAGCAAGGAGGACCTAAATCTTAGCAGGTCTCCATTACACTCATGTGCGCCAACACAATTCAGTGGCCTCCACTAGAAACCATGAATGGAAAATTGGTCTCTCCATCAGTTTTGTTCTGACATGAATAGGTCATGAAATAGTGAAGAACAGAAACATTTTTGGGATGGAGGCCACGTTGATGAGGCCCTTCGTGGAAACTCATGAATAATATATTCATTAAAAATCAGTATGACAACTTGCGAGATGTGCAGTCACCTAAATTCCCCCGGCATTTTCATTGCCTTCTTATATAATATATATATATGTATGTATGTATGTAAGTATGTATGAAATATACTGACAAAATAATGTAAGCTAGTCAATAATTTTTTTTTTAATGAAATTTACACAAAGTATTTATTTTTTTTTGTTTTTGGCCCTGTTGGTTTCATTTCTCATCTTTGATTTTTGCAGCTCCCTTCATTCCTCCTACCCCATATAATATTCTCTGTATGGTTAACCTGTCACCTCCAGATGCACTGGGATTTTTTCCTCTGAAATTCTGGGAGCTGTAGTCGTAATATAGCTGGAAAATACCAGGTCTGGGGAATGGTGACAGTACAAAGCTTTCATATTATTAGCGTGACCATCCTGAACAAAGTGTCCAAACATGAGGTCAGTTCTATCTCCTGAATGCTGTAAAAGCAGCAGCTTCTAATTGTGTGCCCCAGGGCAATGTCATTATACAATGTTTCTCATTCCCCCCCCTCCCATCCACCCCATTGTTCATCCTCTGCCTGAGCAAATGAGCATGAATGCGTTTGTACTTTATTGTTGAATGACATGCGGGATAACGGTGCGCGTATGTGTGAAAGTGTGCGAAGAGAGATTCATTTCTGGATATCGTTGTATAAAGCATGAGTTTTGCAACTGAGAATTGTTGAGATGGAGTGAGAGGTACTTGGATGGAGTGGGAACATCCGTTTTTGACATCCATCACCCAGGCTCCGAGCCCCATCCGTACCCAGATCGGATGCTGGAGACTGTGAGAGTTTTTCTTTATGTTTGTTCTAAACGTCTCTCTCCTTCTGAAAAATTCAAGCAAGATGATTTCCCCTCCCTCACTTGCAACTGTGTCACCCTGCCATTAACCAATTAGAAAAAGACTGTGTCTATATAGATATATAAATATTATAAATATATATATTTTTTGAAAGTCTCTATTTTTCAGATTTCATTTTTTTTTCACTGCTTCCCGAATTGTCCCCATCCTCGGTGCTTGCTACCTTGTCACAGGAAAAGTATATTGAAAGTTAATGGTTCATGCCTTTTTTTGACACTCAGATGAAAGGAAGTTGATATAAGTATCCAGTAATCACATATAAGTAAATACATTGGTAGGTACATGCATGTGAACAAAATATCTGCTTCCAGCCATGCCTTGTGCACTGTTCCTATACTAACTCACGAGCTAAAGATGGAAAGTTTAAGATCCCTCTCTTTTTAGCCTACTTGCTGAGGCAAAGCCTAATCACATTATATAGCTTGTTGCTTGTCCAGCTTGTATCAAGACAGTGCTGCGTTTTAGGAATAAACTTGTAATTTATGTAGATCACTTTCTCAATCCTTCTCTCAGCCCAGGGCTCTTAAAGTGTATGTGAGGCAGAACACCCAAAAGGACAATTTCTAGAACAAATGGGAAATCTGACTTGTTCGTAAACCCTACAATCTTTTTGCATATGTTGATTGGGTCAGAAAATGATGGCTTTTAATAAACTTTCCTCAAGTGGCATATTGGGCTACTCCAATTGCGTGCGATGATGTAGACCAAAGACTCAAAAACTCGACCTTGGTCCATCATGATGGACTGTTGATCCAGCCATGCCAGAAAGGATTGTCTTGGGTGTATGAGAACTGAAAAGGGCAACTAGTTTTCATTCTATTGCCCCAATGTTGGCAATACCATCCTGTTTTATCTCCATTCTTTTCTAGAATCTCAAACAGGAGGTGGTTAAGCTAAGCCACCTTCCGTTAATCCGATGTCCTTTCAATGGGATGACAAGTCCCAGAATTCCCAATTAGCATGGGATAGGAGTCCTAGGAGTGCCCATACTATGCTATCTAGTCAGCAGCAAATTGGAGAAAAGCTGGTTTAATTCATGTGCCTTATTCACTGGTTCATCTAGTGATTTGCTCCAGATGTGAGTGAATGACTGGCTATATCAACCTTCTTTTTTTTTGGATTTAATCACAAATCCAACTTTTATCAGTGGCACAAAGGAAACTTTTGTGAGGCAGGGCAGACAACCTCTGGTCCAGGTCCATTTACTTTGCCTTTCTTGAGCTTCAAGCCCTGAGAGAGCTGTTGGTTTGTTTCTGAGTTTTTAGGGATACCAGCAAGCGGGATTTTCTCTGAAAACACTCCACTTCACGTCCAATACCTGGGGCTCAGGTCTAATGTAATTTTAGCACATGTATGTTATGTAATGATTTAGAAGATGTTGGATTTTATACAGAATGCACTCAAAGCACCCTCTGCGCACAGAGTATTACACGATCTTGCCAAAGAAACCTATTTGAAATGCACTTTTCTTCATTGTACATTTATTCTGTGTGGTTCTGCCTCCTCCCCACCCATTTTAAAAACCTCTTTGTTTAAACTGTGTTTGCTGGTGAATTTTCTCCGGCAATTTCTGAAATTCTGTCTTAGAATAATTGGGTGATTTTGCTAATTGTATATGTAGCTTGATATTTAAAGAAAGTTCTTGAGCAGTAAAACAGCCAAATTATATTGCATTTGTGAGAGAGAGCAGGAGGAAAGCCATTATAAACTCACCGACCTTAAGCTTCAACATTTCTTCCCTCCGAGCTATTGTATGAAACTCTCACAGTGGTTTGTTTAAGTCTCATGTCTAAAAGTAGCTATTTTCTAAATTTCCTTCTCAGCAGCATTAATAAATAATATCTGACAAATAAATAACATTTAAGCAGGCCCAGGCTTATTTATAACCAAGAAAAGCATCTTCGTTAAACTGGGACAGAACCTTAGCAGACAGAAGAATATTAAAGAGCCTGTCTCTTCTCAGTCCCAC